TATACTGTTCCTATGCTGAATTTCTGGGATCTTGATTATTATATGTCTGGGTGTGGTTTTCATTCGGTTGGTATTATTTGGAGTTCTATATGCTTTGGCTTTCCTGTGGATATTCTTGCAAAAGTATGCTCATATTTCTGGTACTGCTGACCACAGCATTTTTGTTATTGCAAATAAAAATAAATAAATAAATAAATAAAGGCAAAAGATCTGGAAACAAACAAGATCTATTCAGCAAAGCAGAGCTTGTCCACAGCATAACTGTTCTGCATAAGGTTTATCTTTATGGGCTGATAAGGAAGGAAATATGTGAAATAGTACAAAATTTTTGTTTTGTGTGAAAATGAATTTTTAAAAGGAAGAGGGGCTAGGGTTTTCAGTGATAAATACCTATAACTACAAGGCACTGGGTTCAATTCCCAGTACTAAATAAATAAATAAGAATCATTAAAAATTTTGAACATTGATTTCCCTTAGGAATGTAGACATGAGCTGAGCAAATGACGGAGACTTTCTTCATTGTATAGATAGATAATACCTATATGTACATCTCTGTATCATCTGCTGATTTTTAAGCACAAGATACATGTTGCTGTTTTTATTGTTCTTGTTGTTGAAGCCAGAGCAATCTGAGTGGGTCTATATGTTTATTTCCTTGTAATTCTCTGTATATAACAGTACAAAAATGCTAAAATAATTATATTACTGCAAAAATGTGCCCAAGAGACACATTTTTAACAAATCATAATCTACAGGATCAACAGAAGGTTACAGATCAACCTAGCTAGTGTTACTCTTAACGCATAAAGATGCTTCAATGACAGCTAAAAATCACCAGATTGAGATTGTCCTGCCATTTTTAGACAACATAAAATTTAGGTAAGAGCATTTTTGGCCTTGGATAAACAATGAAATAATCAGAGTGTCAGATAACCTCACTAGAAACAAATTCGTGTGAGCAGGTGCTATCTTCCTCACCCTCAAGAAGTATGCACCATGAAGGTAGAGATGGCTCTGACAATGGCGCTTCCCAGCTCGCGCAGGAAACCACGGATTTCCATTCCAATGCCAAATTCAAATGACTCACGGCTGCTCATTTTGCGTAAACTAATGAAAGCCCACTTGAAAAACATTTGTGTTGTGCTGCACCCAAAGCTTCAGCAAGCCCATCTTAGATTGCTCAGGTGTAAATACTGTATTTATGGATGAAGACGATAAATACCTCCTCACTCTTAGTTCATACCCAGAATGAACATTTAAACACATAATTTAACAAAGGAAAGGGCCAGCCAAATAGCTCATCAGATTAAAGCTCCTACAAGAAGGTGCAGGGGCTGGGGTTTGATGCACAGGACTGCTGTGCTGGCCCCATCCCCGGGGCATGCTGAGATGGCAATTGAGACTGGGTGTGGTGGGACACGCCTGTAATCCCAGCTCTTGGGAGGCTGTAAACAGGAGAATTGCTAGGAGTCTGATCTAGTATGAGACCCTGAATACCCTG